TCTTCACACATGCACCCTGATCGGTGTAAACCTACCTGTAATTATTCCTCTGGTACAACAAGCGGCTCCTAACTTCATTGTATGGATGATAATGACCGTCCATGGATGATAATGCCTGAGAAAGAGTTGTTAACGATATGTTTTAGATCAACAACATCACACATATGGACTGGCCTGCAAGGTCACTTGTTTTTAATCCCATTGAACATGCTTGGAACATTACTCTGGATGACCTTGAGCAGGCGTTACAGAGAGAATGGCAGAACATTCCACAACAGCAGATTTAAAGGCTCATTTGGTCAATGCAAAGACGTGTAGAAGCTTGCATTTGTCCTCATGGTGGTCATACACGTTACTGAACACGGCTTCACTGTCCAAAACTGACTTCAACATCAATGCAGCACATTTTGCACGACTGTTTCACAGGTACATGCTTTTGATGATTTGTAAGTCTATTATTGCTCAATACCATTCCATTTTGTTAATCGTGTGTACGTATGTTTCACCTTTCTATTGCATCATTCCATGGTTTGCAATTTAAATAAATGATAATGTAATGAGACTATAAATTTGTGTTGCTTAACTTTTTTGTGAGGAGTATAGAAGCATATGTTGATGCAGTGAGCTTAAAGTCCGTCTTGGACAGCAGATCACTTCTATCGCAAGTTTCATGGTTGATTGTTGTTATTTAACGCCGCATTCAGCAATATTTCAGCTATATGGCGGCGGTTCGTAAATAATCGCACCAGACAATCCAGTGATCAACATCAGGAACATCGATCTACGTAGTTGGGAACCGATGACATGTGTCAACCAAGTCAGTCAGCCTGACCACTCGATCCCGTCAGTCGCCTCTTACGCAAGTTTGATGAGTGAATGGGTGAGTGGGTTTAGTTTTACGCCGCAATATTCCAGCTATATATCGGCGGTCTCTACATAATCGAGTCTAGAGCAGACAATCCAGTGATCAGCATCCTGAATATCGATCTATGCAAATGAGAATCGATGACTGTCAATCGAGTCAGCGAGCCTGACCACCCGATCCCGTTAGTAGCCGCTCACGCAAGTTTGATGAAGCTCAAGGGAACGACATAATTATATGTTGAAAAACAATCACATTTTATAACTTGGTGTAATTCATTGTAATATTTAGACATTGATTTTATTAAGAGGAAAATATAAGAAAGATTGTTCTTAGACATTACCAGTGATGTTTAACTGTTTCATGTCGAACCATATGATAGTTTCTTGATGACCAGATGCGAGCGTAGCTGCGACTCTCTACCATTAGAGCGAGTGAGTTTTGTTTTACGCTGCACTCAGCAATATTCCAGCTACATGGCGGCGGTCTGGTAATAATCGAGTCTGGATAAGACAATCCAATGATCAACAGCATGGGCATCGATCTGCGCAATTGGGAACCGATGACATGTGTCAACCAAGTCAGCGAGCCTGACCACCCGATCCCGTTAGTCGCCTCTTACGACAAGCATGGGTTACTGAAGGCTCATTCTAACCCGGACCTTCACGGGTTGCCATTAGAAAAAGAATTAGGTGGATTAAGTCGCCTCAAACACTGCTCAACGAATGAATTTGTAAAATATGTGACGAAAATGTTGAGTTTAGCTACATTATTTGCTGAATGTTCTCTCTGCTCAGACCTGCGCTGTAATCTATTGAATATAGCTTCGGTTTGTAAGGTCCTATGCTGCACTACTTTCTCAGATGTTCCATCAAAGACTCTCCGTTCCTAGCAGTGTACCTGTATATTACTACGACGTATGTCTATATCGGTTTAAACTTATGTGGTGTCACGTGTGTCTCATACGCCATTTGGCCGGACATCATAAATTTTACAGAATAATTTTACAGATTTCCAAAATATGACGCTATAATGAAATAATGCCATTCTTGTTCTTCAGTACTATCCCAAGAGTGGTTACGATGAACTACTATTTAGGGTTCGACGGGACTTACAAAATGGATTTTCTCTTCCCCGTTCGCCAAAACTGATCTCCCAACAAATGAAAATTGCATAAAACAGATATTTTCCATGCAGTATATACGCTTTGGGGTTTCTGTTGACATGGCTATCATTAGCTAATATTTCAGCAAGCCGACATGCTTGAATATTGACAAAACGCTAATTTCAGCGACTGTTTACTCACTGCTGTGGCGTGCCTCACTAGGAACCGATCGTACGGAAAACAGCATTCGGAATTGTTCGGTACAACCTTTTTTTGGAGGTAAAAGTTCAAAAGGTATGTGCAAATGTCAACTTTCGCGATTTGGTAAGCTGTGTCCTGATTGGTCAATTGAAAAGGTACTCTGACGCGACCTTCCACAAGGTTTTGTTAGACTAAGTATAGCAGTGTCACGAATAATACTGAGTCTAAGTTTAAGTTTACTTAGACTGCCAAATTTGAAGACATTGGGTACAACAGTTCATGAGATATCGCGTTAACAAGAATCGGGACGGACGGACGGCGCTGAATACATAGTCCCCCGTTCCGCGTTGCGGCAGGGGACAATGACCAATGATCATATAATGTCATTGAAGAACTACATCCAATAAGGATGGTGTGGTCCTGTGCAGAGAGTTCAGGTCACAACTCAGTTGAAGTTAAAGCAGGGATACTCTACAACAGGGATAGGTCACTCGCTTGCTTTCTTTACCATTTGTACTAATTAACGTGTGCCTCGTCATGCTCCAACGCACACAGTGACTTGGTTCGGTCCCAGCGCAACTTCGGCTGCGTTTAACAGTACTTCAGCCAGTGTATTGTATCAGTCGGAATTTTACAATGAATGAATGAATGAATGAATGAATGAATGAATGAATGAATTAAGAGCAAGAATTTTATGTGAGTGAATGAAAGAAATTAAGAAAAAGAACAAAAGAAAAAGAACATATGTGAATGAATGAAAGAATAAATGATACACCACGGCCATCCCTCCCCAAACATGTTAAAGAACGCAAAACTATCGGTAGAACACAAATGTTAACATCAGCTGTCCTTTTTCAAAAAAAATTTACTTTGAGACATGTGTTTACATTAGTAACTAATTCAGATATCTTATTGCATGTGTGGAATGACATGGGCATTGACAGAATGTTAACTGACACTGTCACAGACCCCTCAAGAACAGAAAGTTTAGAACTATCACAAAGCGTTGTAAACACCTTTCCAGTTTTGTCAAATACTAAGATCAACAAGAAAGAAAGAAGTTTTAGAACTATAACACTCAAGCATCACAAGCACCAATGGCGATATGTCATATTTTCACACACCTCAAATACACACTAACAACAAAAAAAAAAGTATCAATGTTACTAGCAAAAACCTTTCACCTGATGGTATATTCCCCTCATAAAAATAGAAGGTGTATGTGAAAGATGTTTTTGAACACTAACTAGAAACACTCAAACAACGCCCTGTAGTATTTCAATGGCAGATCGGCGATATGTCATATTTTTCACACACCTCAAATACACACTAACAATGTTTTTTAAATTATAAAACTATCACTATTACTTGCAAACACCTTTCACCTGATGGTATATTCCCTCATAAAATTGAAGGTGTATGTGAAAGATGTTTTTGAACACTAACTAGAAACACTCAAACAACGCCCTGTAGTATTTCAATGGCAGATCGGCGATATGTCATATTTTTCACACACCTCAAATACACACTAACAATTTTTTTAAATTATAAAACTATTACTATTACTTGCAAACACCTTTCACCTGATGGTATATTCCCCTCATAAAAATAGAAGGTGTATGTGAAAGATGTTTTTGAACACTAACTAGAAACACTCAAACAACGCCCTGTAGTATTTCAATGGCAGATCGGCGATATGTCATATTTTTCACACACCTCAAATACACCCTAGCAAATTTTTTTTAGTTATAAAACTATCACTATTACTTGCAAACAGCTTTCAACTAAAGGTATATTTCCCTTCTAAAAATTAAACGAATATGTGAAAGAAGTTTTTAGCGATATAATTTAGTCTTTCTTCGCTGTGTACTGAGAATTGAAGCCAGTGAGCTACAACATGCCCACTTGAAACTTTACTACAAAGCTACTGTACTTATACTGACACTAATAACAATTATTTGACTTGAAATGAAGTGACAGAATAGGTAACTTATCTTCTACATGTAGGTTTTCAGTTGTCAACACTCAGCGTATGTAATCAGCTGTTGAAAATAAACCGGGCTCAATCTTAAAAACTACGCTGCCGCCATATTGGCTACACTGGTCACGTGACGAGCCGAGGCATAGCTTAGGAGCTTTCCGAGGAGTGACCACTCCCCCTTATAGAGTCTCCCTGGTTAAAGCAACCTTGGTTGCGCAGAGTCCTTGGATGGGTGACAATGTCTGGAAGCATAACTCCTGAGAATTTCTAGCACTTCAGTCCTGCCACATAACGAAGCACATGTGACACATGTGGTCCTACCTTAGGCAAGGGAGTTTGTTCAAAATTGTCTCTGTTCACTAAATATTATAATATTTATAAGACACTATTACAGTCTGTGTAATGACACTCACTTCAGTATCATATGGATAGGACGAAATTTTCTTTTACCGAGACGAAGTATCATTTTAAAGGAGAGGACACTTTAACATTTAAGACTAAATGATGTCAGTTTATATTTTTGACATGTACCAGGCTCCCTTATTTTTTCATGTCTTGCTTTTGTATTTTGTTTTGGTAAAGGGTGCCACGGACGGAGGCATGGTAAGCTCTGCAATTCACAAGGACCTCGGATCACCAACATAGTGATTCATAAACACATACTTACCAAACAGTCAGAATTATATAATCAAGTTTGCTTGAAGCAGATAGTTTTTAGATTGTAGAGCATAGGAGAGAGCTCAGTGTCAGTAGAACGTTTTTCAAAAGCTTTAAATATTTCAACAATGAGATGCAGAACAAATGCAATGTACACAAGTATTAGCCATATCATCATTCATAACAAACACAAATTTCATTGAATCAAATTTAATGAATGTTTCAGTTTCAATTTTTACTACAAGCACTGAAATGTTCAGAATATATAACAGTGAATAGGAAAATAAATATACAAAGTTCAGTAACCAGGCATAATTATCTGCAATATGGAGAACTACATACAGGCAGCAACACAGGAGGAGAGCAAGGAAGAAAGAAAAGAGTTAGATTGGCTCAATTAGTCACAAGTGTAGCAGATTGTCTCATGCAGATTGAGACCACTTAAATGTCAATGGTAAAGATACCCACACAAATCACATACATTAAAATATACAGCTCATTCTCCCAGCATTGATGGAGTAAAATTCAACAGGATGGGCTGCTGTAGCAACTAAAATAACAGTTTACAAGAGAAATTTCATAGAAGTAGGTTACAAAAGTTGGGAGATTCCCCACCCCCTCCATACCATCCAACTGCCAGGTACAAACATATCTTTAAATGCAGCATTTACTTCCAGTATCATGCAGGTTATGCCATTCCCTGTCTAAATTTTTACACACTGTATATAAAGCACAGATACATTCCATAGGACAAGTGAAATACACACAAATATGGGTAACCGATAGTGATATAATCATTACCTGATGTCACACAAGTGTGGTGTGTGTGTGTGCACAAACGTGTGTTACAGAGGATCTGGACAATGGCAAGACTGCAACCAAATGAACACACCAGCACTCAACTTCCATCAAACATCTATAATGAGATTAGTTACATTCTTTATTGACAGGTTACAAGTTACACTTCTTTGGCCAATAAAAACCATCATATACCTCATCAAACATGATTAATATGACATCCCTTATTGTATTGGTGCGCACAGAGGTTCCCTCTGGCAGACTGGTTGATAGAAAGATTGTCATCCAGCTGGTCCTGATAATGTTTGCCTTTGTCACTCACAACAGAAAATCATAACGTATCACTTCAGAGAGTTTACAGAATCAATGAAATTTCAGTTTGTTTTATCCAGTTTTAATGAGACAAATATCCAAATATTATGTAACCTGAGAAAACATCCACACTTTTTTCATTTTGTTGTAGTTGGGTATTTTTGAGCAGGGCTCATGTTTTGAGAAGAAAAAGTACAGCAAAGTATCATCCACACAGTAAAACAATCTAATCGGTGAACTATTGTACCTGAAAGAGGTTAGAACACGCTATGAGCAAGAGTTGGTATACAAAAATTTTATACAACTTTGGTAGAATGCAACATTAGTTTGTCAGCAATATAAGCAGCCAACTACTGTTGAGTGGAACCGATTTCACGAGGACTGGATAGTGTCGAAAACTCTGCCTGGTGGGTGCACACTGCATAGTCTTTCATACTGAAGATGAGGTACAAAACACACCAGCTAGGGCTGGTACCTTGTGACACGAAATACAGCACAAGCACCCATTTGAAGAAACACTGGTGACCATCTGTCTCAGAGAGCTGCTACAAGTATCTAGTACTGACTAGCCTTTTCATCTCTACAGAGGTGCTTACTGTGATTGAAGTTCCTGGTTAGGAACAGTGCATGCAAGGGACCCCTTGCCCTCAGAGATAGATGAAGTTGTGGTGAACCACTAGACAAGCCCAATACATAACAAGAATACATTAAAACATGCTTGTATTCAGAAAAGGTTGGCTCAGAATAGTACTAGTTGAAGGGGTTATCTAACTCATGAATTAAGTTGCACCTTAAAGGGAATACAGAAATACACCCTAAATCTTTTTGACCAACTGATGAAAGCAATACCAATGATAGTTGGGTATCATTTTCAGCAATAAGAACATCAAGGAAAATTTGGTCGATTTTCATTAACAAGTGCAAGATGTAACAATAACATATGGAACAAAGTAAGCACTGGGATCACAAAGAAAGAATTGTGTTACAGCAGGACAATCTAACCAGTCTAGTCTTAACGGCAGAGAGCTCTTCACCAGATCATGCAAACTAGGTGAACCTATTCACATGCAGACTATGACAATCAGTGTCCCACACAGGAGCACTCCACATGGCCTGTAGGCATGCTACCAAACCTACTCGTAACAAGCACTGAGATCACAGTTCTTCTCTTCCATATCTTCTGTCAGCAGAAAGAATCCAGTAACGCATTTGTAAAACGTGCGTACAGGTTAGTGTCCAACACAAAAACAGTATTTATCTGTCCATAGATACAGTTTGCAGGATGAAGGCAAAGATTGGCATCAGGCCATCGAGCGTCCAGGCCAACACAGGCTGTCTAGATGACATAGCAGCATCAGCAATGAGCACTACATAAAGCAGGTCATGTGTTGCCCTGGCACGGCAGCCCAGTAATCTGCCAGTAGCAAGTTTGTTTGTTCGTCAGTCTGTCAGTGTAATAGTTCAATAGATTTGCGACTGGGAGGAAATAGTTTGTGTGTCACAGACGTGTGGGTGTGTGTATGTATCATCATATTGCTTCAGTATTCTTCATCTTCAGGGTCAACCAAGCCATCGTCCTGACCCTCCTCTGGGGGTGCAAAGCCATCCTGTAATATACATTATGTCATTAAATGAAAGATTTTCCAACTTCATATATGGGGCGACAGGAAGAAATGATACATAAAGAGAAGCATACAAACATAAATTTACACAGGAATATATGATGTCTACACAGTTGTACATAGTATATGAAGAGGACAAATGGTATGTCAGTGGAATAAGACAAGGGCTCTCTGTTTAGTGGTTTACAGATTCCTTACTACCAGACTGTCAAATGGAAATAAAAATAAAAATAAAAATAAATGTGTTCATGAAGATGTTTTATTTCAAATCATTGGATACACTGTTCATACTGTGAGTTGTTCAAAGTGAAAAGAAAAACCAATGCAAATCAACAAAATATATCTTATATGGTAGCATAGTCAGTAATATTACACCTAGCTAAAAATGAAATTAGAATCGGCCAAATCAGTGCTAACAGGTTTCTCATCAAAATTCAAAGTTACAGATATTTCCTCAAAAAGAGAGAGCGAGAGTTTGTGTGTGTGTGCATGTTCTGTGTGTGTGTGTTGTGTGTGTGAGTGAGTTTCTTTCCACATTGCTTACTAATAATGGATCTGCAAAACATATCAATATGAAAATTAGAGGTACTCATGATATGTTTAACTTTTTTCATTATAAATTACAGTAATTTATGTGAAATTTACACTGCATGTGCTTTACAGGATATCTTCCATGTCAAATTCAAGGGCTTATTTTACATTCAAGGCCAATCAAGGTTTGAAACAATTTCCAGGTATTGTTACAGTTAAGGCCTCTTCAAGATGAAGTATCTAGGTTAAGGACTTGTCTGAGTCTTATGAACCTTGTTAAGAATAAGTGTCTGCAGAGCAATACAGCAGCCTTCAAGCTGGTTCTATCAGTCTCTGAAACCTTACTGAAAGTCTTACTAACACATGAGTAAGGTTCAACTCACTGCTTCCTACACCTACAACTTCTCACTTCCGACAGATCCATGGTGTTACTAAACAGAAACAGCAATTAATATATATGTACAGCAACAAAGTAATTTGTGTGTTTGTATGCAACAGAAGTTTTGTACTTGTTGTTTTTGAAGGAATTAATGTTTTAAGGAATTGAAAATCACAAAGCTGACCACCTGGAATATTTTACTACTGTAATGTAAACTTTGACAAGATTAACTGAGTAAGCATCTAATCTTTGATACGCAGTAACACACTTGTAATTTAGTTTCTTTTTGCATCCTTTCTCTTTCCTATTGCCCACAGTAGAATCAGTAGGTAAACACATTTTCATTCTAATTTTTGGTTTTGTGGGTTTTTTACAGTAGAAGGTCTATCTGTAAACCAAAATAAAACATCCATCAACTGACGCAGCAACAGTTCCCTTCTACGTGGTGAGACATATACAGCTGACATACAACCTGACATACACCTAGATTACTGGGTTATAATAACATTATCAGCCAGATGACAATAAGACCCCCACTTTATTTGGCTCTTCCAATAAGATTTGGGTATGGGGTGTTTTGAACTGGAATTCCTGTACTAAAAAAGTACATTCTGGTACAGGAATAGAGGACTTCCACAAAGTGTAAACATACAGTAGAGATGTACAATCATGGTACATGGTAATGCAGGAAGATGACATCAATGCAGAGTAGTGTTAGATATGTCATGTGGGAAGACATCAGTTGAATACCACAGAACACTGATGATTTCAGGAATACTGGTCTCCATGTAAACATGTATCATAAATGAGTATGAGACAGAGCAACTATTAATGATCATGAAAGTATGCAGGTGAGTGAGTTTAGTTTTACGCAGCACTCAGCAATATTCCAGCTATATGGCGGCGGTCTGTAAATAATCGAGTCCGGATAGACAATCCAGTGATCAACAGTATGAGCATCGATCTGCGCAATTGGGAACTGATGACATGTGTCAACCAAGCCAGGGAATAATCCCGTTAGTCGCCTCTTACAACAAGCATGGGTTACTGAAGGTTCATTCTAACCCGGACCTTCACGGGTACATGAAAGCATGCAAGTATGAGGAATAAAAGCCATACATGATTCATGATTGAAAATATGGAAGAATAACATTAATAAGGGCATAACAGAGTTACATGTTTAAGCAATGGATCAGGGAAACAATTTACTACATAGCCACTTGACTGCTGCAATGCTGTTATGGAAAACCTTTGCACAACAGCATAATTCTAAACTTTGAGATTTATGTTATTTAACATTTATCATCCTCAAGTACTTGTTAATTGACTGAAGAAATGTTTCTCACCTCTGTCGCATACAAGATCTCAGAAATTGATTTGATAACTGGATCATCATCAATATGGTCTTGGCAGATGATCTCAATGTCACGCAGCTTGGCGAAATAGAAGTCCCTCTCCTTCTCTAGCCCTTCCACAGTGAGTCGGAGTTCAGAAATCTGAAGTGATGTATATCATCATGCAAGCAATAAATGGTGACACAGGACAAGATGGAAGTGAGATGGTTATAACACCAACCTGGAACACTATTCCAGCATAATGTGGTGGGAAATGTTAAGTGTCACTGGTGACTTTTACTACTTTGTTGAAAGCTACTACCACTAGTAATATGGCAGACAAACAAAGGATTGACTGGATTTTCATCCAACTAGATTATATCCTGACATCCAAGGGATGCAACTCTATACAGGGAGTAGAAGCTCCTTTGGGTCACTATTGAGTACAGTGGTCTGTTCAAATTGTCACCGTGCAGGGCTGGCAAAATATCAAAGTATAGAAAATTATCAATTTCAAAGGTAAACACCTGCATACAAGATAAGTTAAGTACAGTTTGTATTTTTCAATATATGTATCACTGTCTATTAGCTTGAAGTGGGACTTTAGTCACAGACTGTAAAATTCAACTACTCAATCTCATTCAAAGCAAAACTATTACTGCGAAGGAAAACCTATCTGCATGAATGTCACCACCTCCATAAAAGGTCACCTCAGGTGAACCTGGATGGACATTTGAGCACATTTGCAGGGATCCTTCAGTCAATCAAATACTAGCTTTCTAAAATGATAAGGCTTCATTTCTTGACCACCATGACTTGGATATTTCCCCTCATATTGCATGTTTAGACAATTGCTAACTTAAATTCCTTCAAACCTGCACTTATCTCAGAACATACATGCAGAAATCAGAACTTGAGAGCAATACTCTGTCAGTTTCCAGAGCAAACAGAAGAGAACTCAAGGTTTAAATGATGATGCGTTAACCAAGTTTTGTGGTGAAAAGATACAAATGCCAGTTTACACAAATTCCAGAGTACTCAGGTGCTGGTTTAGCCAGGGTCAACTGTTAAAATCACAGCCAAATTGTTAAACCAAATACTGTACTTCTTGTGCTCTGTATACCTGGCTTCGATATTGCATAGAAACTTGTGCTACAGTGTAGTGTAAACAATCTGCACATCTGGTGTATACATCTGGTGGGGATGGTGGCTGTTATATAATAACTGCATTCAATGACTATTGATGTTTTCCCCCATTACAGTGAGCATGTCAATGCATTTGATCTTGTTATTTATTTCACTATCTGTTCATAAAAAGTTTCCTTATATATCTGGATTTACATATAATCTCTTTACAAACTATATTCTCTCAAACATTTAATTCAATATTTTTCACATTTCAATTTTACAAAATCGTGTGTACTGGCTGGCATATCGCACCAACTAACAGGTTGGTGCTTTAACTGCAACTATTATCAGATTGTCAGTACTGATGCCCTGAAATGAACCTTAGGTGACAGAGACTGGATACATATCATAAATGCTACACTACGGCCCCTTAAAATACATATTGTTGTAGTTTCCACACCTGAAAGAGATTCAAACATCAAGGCCTCTGGAAGCCTCAACAGTGATTGCTCAAGCTATTCCAAATAGACATGGTAAAACCCTATCCAGCAATGGCAATCAGCTAAGTCCTATGTTTATGAGTATTACATAGTAAAAGCTGCAACTAGGATAACTTGATACTGGAATATAATATACACACCTGGTAACAGTTTCCAATACAAATTCTTCCAATCATTAAATCGAAATTCTTTGATGTTATATCATCAAGAAGTTGTTTAATTGAATAACTGGTAAATCAGGGAGAAAATGTGTACAGCTAATTGCTTTTACCAGCTAAGTTTACAAGAAACTACACATAAAACATGCCTTACAGAACAGAAATGCAATGACCACATTTGTTATCTCCTGATCACTCACCTGAAGGAATACATTTTTGTTTACATCATAAAACAAACTAAAATTCATAAACCAATTAATAAAACCCATCCTGACAATCTTAACTACCTTCATGACCATGCCATACCAAAATGACAATAACAATGACATTAAGATATCAATACTGTTCATCAAATATTTTTCTTGCAGACATACATTTGCTTCCAAATCAGCAATCTTGTTATCTTTGTTGTCTCTGCTGTTAGCATGATTGTTCGCAGTTGTCTTGGCTGGTGGTGGAGCCACCCTCTTTGTTGTTTCCGTCACTGTAAGGCGAATGGAAGAAATCAGCGTATTTGTATCAGCCATTTAGTCACACTTGGCACACAACAATTCACCATAATCTAGAGGTCCACATACCATCACCATCATCTGACCATGTTGACATGAAGGTTAAACGTTTGACATATCTAGACCATTGTGTGAAACGGCAAACAAAATAAACAAGTTTCATCCATTTTCTGGTCTGGGACATAATGAATGTGTTCTTGGAAAATGATACACGTTTTGTAGTCTTTAGTAGAGCTGTGACGATATATCATAGTATCGATAATTGTGATACCCCTTCTGGTGAGGTGAGGTGAGGTGAGGTGAGGTGAAATTGGGTTTAAAGTCGTGCTTGAGAATATTTCGCTCATATGACGACGTGCATGCGTGTGTATGTGTATGTGCGGCTGCTTGTACTAGCCCAGACTTAAGCTGGTTTTATAGTGCTAGCTCACTGAGATACCATGCCGCAGTGAAGCATGAATACCCCACTCAGACACATTATACTGACTCCGAGCCGACCAGTCCTTGTTGTACCCATTAATGCCGAACGCCAGGCAGGGACCAACAAGTACCATATTTTAACGTCTTTTGGTATGACGCGGTCGGGGATCGAACCTGCGACCTTCCGCTCTCAGGGCGGACGCTCTAACCACTACACCACGGAGGCGGTCTTGATACCTTTTCTGACAATAAATATATTGATACTTTTTTTTGTATTGTGATATGTATTGTTGACCTAAAAATTGTGAATTTTCACTAGAAATTGACGGTTATGTCAAAATTTACACGGTTACTTGTTATAAAAATACATTTTTTTAAAGAAAATAACTAAAGATAGCATATTGTGATACGCATTATATTGTTCCAAGACATCGTGATATGTATCGTATCGTGAAATTTCTGTATCGTCACACCTCTAGTCTTTAGTGATTTTGTTGTGATGGATGGACAGAGAATGAGTATACAATGGATATGAGTATACCGGACAAGTCAAGTAGAGCTAAGAAGAAAAATGTGTCACCTTATCAATTAATATGACTAAGGGACGCTTACCCGTACATTTTTGCCCATCACTTTAAAGATTTAAAGTAATTGTGAAGTCTTCACTACTCACTTGGCTTGGCAGTCTTGACTGTCGGGGACTGTTTCGTTACCCGAGGTTTGTTTAAGGCACTGCTCTTCGCTCCACCTCCAAGAGCTTCACCACCCCGAGCTCCGACAGGATCGTAGTCACGCATGTCAAAATTCGCATCAAAAAACTTTTTGAACCATTGAACAAATTCAAAATTATCCTGGAATTTTCCTTTCACTAGGCGATCAACAGGAACAATCTGAGGAAAAAAACACCCAAAAATCATATATGGACAATCTGTCAAACAAAATCCTAGTATTCAGTGGTATCAGACCTGACATTGAAAAATACAATATAAGACGTAGATGGCTCGATCAACGGATTAATCTCTTAAGATTCCGTTCAAATAATGGCAATGTATTATACTTATCTTTTCATAATTAGTGCAACAAGACACATTACAAGAGACACGAAATACATTACTTTGTGAAATAAACTGAATTGACATATACAAACAAGGACATTGTTCTGTTGACATCATGTGATATCAGGGCCAACTTTAAAGATTTGTTTTGCATTAAAGTTAATTCAGACATGCCTGAAAAAATGCTTGTATAATGTACAAGTATATTTCACAATCTGCAGTGAAGATGATATATGGGAAGAAGAAGAGCATGTACAATGATCTGACAACAAATACGTGTGTGGAAAAGATATCAAGTAATGAGTAGAACGAAGCACAGCTGGCAAATGAGATGTCATTTAGAGACCATATAAAGTATAACAAATGCATAGAAACAAGGGCAGACATCATGTGGACTTCCCAGAAACACAACTGTTAAAATAACTTTATTCGACAATACAACCCACTGTAACTTTCAACAGTGCCATAGCCCATCAGTTTAGTGACTATCATATTTAGCCCACATGTCTTGACTGCCACAACCTACAGATCCATTATTAGGATTTTACTGCTCTTCATCCACTGTCAATAATTGTGAACTGTTGAAATGAGATCTCAACACAGTGCAATTTCCAAAAATATATAACATTTCTCCAAAATTATTAATGTTGGCATTTCAAGATAACAACAGATGAACTGTAAATGTGAACATTTTATCACTATTGGAGTTCTTATCAAGTGGTCCTGCTACACAATAGTTTTGTCTGAGGCTCACCTGGCAATCATCATGGCAGTCACCTTCTTTCTGCTCAAGTTATATTTTATATGTCTCATATATGGTTGCATATCATTTTTTTTTAAACTCACAAGTCAACCATTAAAAATACCTTCAAAGATTTATGACTGAATAACTTTTTATATTTGTATGATAAATAATATACCTTTGCGTATTACACAAGTTCAAAATATTTGATCAATACATGTATTTAAAACACTGAGATTTAGGGGTTCAAACTACCCTGCTCAGTACCATGCATCAGCAAATCCACCACAGGAACTGAACTGTCATATAGTGCACCTTGCATGCAGTCAAGCAAGGGATCTGTTTTCCTGGACCAAACCAAAAACATTCACTGGTCCCAACTCATTTAAGCTTTCTGCCCAAATTATAGAAATTTTGATTCAACCTTTCCATTTTCATTCCTTCTCCACAGGATTGAAATTACTGAAGTATCCTCATATCTGCTCTGCCTAAGTATCAGACAACTTCACAATACCATGTGTTCAAGTCCTCCCAGAACTTTCACATATAGCATCTAAATTCTATATCATATACTCCTGACAATGTTTGTATTTCATGTACAGTCAGACCTCGCATATCCAAACTTTTCTAGTTACAATTTACCTCGTATATCCGAATGTTCAATTTCTGCATCCGAACGGTCAATTTTGGTCATGAAACAGCAAAATATGTACAAATTGGCCTCCTATATCCGAACACCAAGGCTGCCGTCGGCAAGATGTCTGATGTTTACCGCTCCTCAACAGTGCTCAATGCATTGACCTTTGATCAATCGATATCAAAACCCAAGGGCTGTTGTCGGCGAGTTTCAAAACACGAAATCTATCATGCCTACCGCTTGTCAAAACATTGTGCTGGCTGCTAGTTAATTCATTGTTTTTTGAATATTTATCACAGGGCGTGTAGGTTAATTATTAGAGAAGAAACAATTAAAGTTTGACATTGAGTTGACACTGATTCGAATCGTTGATTGAGTAAGATATAGTAACAACACAAAGGCGTGGATGACAGCAGAGCTGTTTCGTGATTGGCTGCTGTCTTTTGATCGACAGATGAGGTCACGTGGAAGGCGGGTCATTTTGCTTGTTGACAATGTGGCTAGTCACAACTGTAAAAATCTTAAACTGACAAGCGTGACTGTCCATTTCCTGCCACCCAACACAACCGCACACATTCAGCCAATGGATGCATTGGATTTGAAAATGTCGGCGACCTCACAAACCTGAAGCGAATAACAACTCTGTCCGTCAACAGTCATCAATCAAAGACTTTTTCAACCCGATGCAATTTATGTTATGTTATGCAAGATGTTATGTTAAATAAAGATGTAGTTATGTTTCAATGTTATTTTTAGTTGTTTTGTTTTCACGTGTACCTGATTCAGATATCCGATTGATTCGTTTGTTCGAACAACCCAATAAAAAACCAAAGTGTTCGGATAAATGAGGTCTGACTGTATATTATAATTTGAGGTATTCAAAATCTGTAAAACAATTTTACTCTATATATAGCATGCTTTATTTTTGTTCGAGGTCAGGCTGTTTGTTAAGATCACTTGATATCTTTTGATGATTACATTTTGTAATTCAGATGTAAATATATAGATCTAAAGACGTTTGTAATGAATTTGATCTAATTAAAGTAAGGGATGGTCAATCGGTTAACAGCTACTTGGTTGCACTAAAAAAAACTGTCTTGTCTTGGATCAAGCGAACTTTCTGCCTGTCACTTTATCATCTGGTGAACTGAATTTTGACAATGCTATCATATTGAACTTAATGAAATTAAGTGTATGACACAAAAGATCCAGTAAACTTTTCAATATAAGTACAGATACTGTCTCAACAATGAACTGTGCAGAGAAAGGTCCTCGGGTGTAAACAACCTTGTCAGTGAAGGATGAGGACTATTTTTATGGATCTACAACTTCTTTATTCTGTATAGGTGACGTTTCGACATAGATTCTAATGTCTTTGTCATCACTTGCTTGACAACGACATTAGAATCTATGTCAAAACGTCGCCTATACAGAATAAAGAAGTTGTAGATCCATAAAAATAGTCCTCATCCTTCATCTACCCAAATTCTAGAATGCCAATCAAAGAAACCACCTTGTCAGTGGTTGGCAAGGTACACACATAAACAAATAGAATAAAAATGGTGCATGTTGTTTGAATGGTGGCAACTGTTTAAACCCCCGACTCAATGACATTACATAAAATAAGATGCAAAAGCTCTAGCAGGAATTTTACATAAACTGAGCAAACATCAGAACATTTCTCAAATCAGAAAGGTTAAAGAAATTCCCCCCAGAGACACCAACAATAAATGACTCTTCACTTTGATCCACAATAACGATCTACACTGACAAAAATCATCAATTTGAAAACATGCACTGAATAACTTGTGATTTATGTCACAAAACATGGGTGATAGGCCAAGGTGAGAAGAAAGTGCAAAAACTGTGAAAACATGCATGAAACGACTCACTCTTGGTATTGTTCTACAAGACACTGACACAAGCAGTCTAACGATGACAAAACAGACAGCAAGCTTACCAGCTTTACTTACCTTGTCTACATGCATCTTTGTGAATGACTGTTGCAAACACTTGAAATTGTTTATGTATTCATGTTCTAATTTTGTATTGAATTTTATCCTTTTCATCTGAATTGACCCTGCAAGAGGAAAGACAGTTCCTCCTTAAGCAAAATATCAAACCACAGAATTGCTGTCACAAACACCATGTCCTCAAACTTTTGTCCACAGCTGAAAACAGCAGATGTGCATGTGGAAGTTGTCAGTGGACAAGGAAGTGCCTAGGGACCAGGGAACTGACAACAAACATGTACACCTGGAGTCGGCAGCTATATCCTCCCAGGATTCATGTGGATAAGTTTTTCAAACATGATGATTGAAGAGGCCATTTCATTGTTTATCATAGCAGTTAATCAGAAATATGATCTGTCTCAATATATATCATGCACAGGCGATCATCTCCACAGGCTAGTTGATACACATTAGTATGGACAGTCTCAGCCATATGAAACTGGAGGAGTGTTTGAGGTCATGTGGTTTGTGAGAGCATCAACATCATACACACTATATCTGCGTCAAAGATTAGTACTGAAGTTAGTTCCCGCATGCATCAGTGGAGTGGGTAGGAGGAGTTATTGGGACCAGGACCCACTTGCACAAATTGATCTTTCAGCACAGTAAGTCTATGTTTAAGTAAGGGAGCATTAATCAATATTTTAATGCTAAGATTGCTTTGTGCAAGCGGGCCCAATAACACTGAGGGAGAGACGACAATATGCACAGACATTGAAAATATCACAATAGAAATTATAGTGATACCGTTGTAATAATTTTGAAAAATTACTTTCAAAAGCAATTACCCCCACCCCACCCAAATCTACTAGCAACATGTTGCCATTCAGTATGTTGAGTGCTATGCATGTCTTGTCCCTGCCAGCAGTTATCGGGTTATCCCAGCGTTAGAGGGACCTAAGCATTCAGTGGGTCATGCTGTAAGCTGCAAATAAAACAACAGTTAAGGCACACTGCAAAAATGTGCCAGTCATGGTCAAATGTGACCCTTGTGCAAGGAGTTGAGGAGTCTACTGAGACAACATGAGTTGCCTCCCCTGGCCACCAGGTCAGAGGTCGTGTTATAAGTCACCTTGTCCACACCATTCTTCTTAAAACTCCCCTGCAGCAGCTTGAAATTCTGAATGGCTTCATGTTCTAATTTGGTGTTGTATTTGACTTTCTTCAAGAGAATAGTGCCTGCAATAGGGAATTCAGTCACAAACAATATACCAAGCAGGGCTGGGGAACACACAACATCACCTGTACACAGGGTCTGACACATCCACATTATATCATATATTGAGTATACCATTATAGCACACACACACACACACACCCCATTGAATAAATAAAGCAATACATGGGAATAACATACAATACTATTAACTAGTTTTAGGATAAAGTTCCTATGACAGACTTTTCCTCACATCAAGTATATTGTCTTCCTGATAAATTATGTGGCTTTTCACCCATCACAAAGTTACAGCATCATCTGGATGTTCTTATGACCTTGAGCACTGCACCAACAGGGTCTTCACTTCTAATTTCACTTCTACTTTGTATAATCAATATTATATTCTTCATTGGTTAGTACAGCAATACTTTATACTGATGTCAACAATCCAGTTGATACTAAATAACATCAGTAAGATGCAAACCAATAAAGGGATGCAGATGTCAATGTGCATTCACAAAACTCATGGAGCACATGGGGTGAGCAAAACATGAACAAATGACAGAGATGCAGCTAAACTGGGACATAAAGAAATCTTTAAACAATGTGTATTTCTTGCATTTATCTACACGATAACATGTTCCTAGCATAACAAATCTTCTTTTGCTAAAACAGTATGTGTATGTATACATATAATGCAGCAAAATCATAGAAATTCACAATTCATTTCTGGTTATATGGTTATGTTTATTTAATTGTTACATCTGCAGTGTCAGTAAATGAAAAACACAAAAATTACTGATAAAATGATATATCTATATTGTGTGTGTGTGTGTGTGTGTGTGTGTGTGTGACTTCATGTCAGTGATTAACGTTTAATCATCAGCTTATTTTTGTAATAGAAATACATGTAAATATTTGTTAGCCAAAATATTGTGTACGTGTATCTGTTTTTGCACTTTATGTTTTGAATCAAAATATACCAAATTGGGAGGTCAAAACTGTGACATATCGTATCAAAATGATAGTGTATGGCCAAGCCATGTCAAGGCAGCATGTTCAGGTAATGCCCATAACTATTTTATTAATAATCTTATGAAAAGTGATCCTTGTGTAAACTCCATTACTAAAGGGTCAATAGACAAATAAACTGTTGGAAAAAAAGTTTTATTAAAATCCCTCAAAATTCTAAACAATATAAATAGAGATTAAGCTCTGCTCCAGGTGTTATTGTCAAACTCTTTGAAATAATGATTAATATAAGTACAATGATGACAGGAAAATAGAAGATTCTTATGAATGTACATTTTGTTCAGTAATAAAATATTTTGTTTTCTGTATGCATTCCAAAATATGATGTCTATGTAATTCACGAAAGCATTCATCTATCTAAAAAATCAATAATTTTGTGGAGTTATTAATATAACATATATCATAAACCTCTGTTTCATTGCATGCGGCAAGCAAGTGGTTAACTTCCTTCCCCTGCTATACCACCATGATAACCCTGAGATACTGTAGGTTTCAGTTGCAGCTTTGATGAAGTAGTGAGCTACATTAATGGGTTTGAGATAGCAACTCCCCTGCATGCTGAGGGAGAGATTGGCAGGCCACTGAGTTCAGGCAGCCCCAATGGGATGGGGTGTACTGCCATACTATAAAATGACCTGACCCACTAGGGGCAGTTTGCACATTACCACAACTTCCTGCCATCCCCACACAGTAATACTACATACTTCCCCTTAGTACTGATTGCAGTCAGGGAAACATACTTCACTGATAAGGAAGCTTTTCGTAATGGTGCTGTTTATTCTTTTATTACTGTTAATATCAAATTTGTTGATTCATGATGAATACCAAGCTTATTTGATCATCAAAGAACGAATCCAACAATGTTCTGTTGTAAGTTTTTGTGTCAAGCACTAGTTTAAAGGAAATGTCAACCATCAAATTCAAATTGATCATGATTAGAAATACATGGCTTTCATTAGCACTAAGAATTCTTCACAGAAATAACAAAACATTTGAAAAGACATTTCAGAAAGAAGATAAGTTGAAACTGAATTGTGAACTGGTAATGTCTACCCTATACATCATGTTTGTTGCAGTGCTTCCACTGGACTCTAAACCAATGATGCCTTGACACCTCTAAGGAAACTGACAAGCAGACACTATCTCTCATGATTTGTATGCTAGCAGCATGTGATGTTATAAGTGTTAGTTAGCTATACTCTACACAGGAAGTGCTGTCAGTGACTAGTGGCTGCCAGACACACAGACATCTGACCTGATTAGCCCTCATATTCAATTACTATCATTAGCTTAAGGAATAAATGGAATCACTCACTAAAAGGCCTTACAATAATATTTTATGATTTACACATTTGCCAACCTTAAAAAGTTGAAAAGTCAGAAAAAAATAACATGACAGGTTTTTGTAATCTCATTAAGGATGAAGATCACGGAGTTTTACGAAATATTTGAGGGATTTAATATGACCGAGACAGAATTTTTCCAACAATGTCTCCTTATCTTTTCATTTTATCAATCAAAACACACATTAACATCTTTAAGATGAATAAAATATGCTGAACAAGGCATTCACTAGCCATGTCCATAAACAGACGTCTGGGCTGTGAGTGACTACTGGGTGATCGGGACCTAACACCAGGGTGTGACTCATGCTCCTGTTCTACCTTGTATCTGAACATGCATATTAATACAAAATCTATTGTGACTGGCTGATGTAACCTCTGCCAGCAGGCAATCAATGTAACTTGACAACACTACATGGGATATAGAGAAATACTCTTGATTTATTGCAATACATCGTAGTGTTCTACATACACTGTGACAAAACTTCATCTGGGATTCATTGACAACCAATCACAAACATAATAAAGGGTGGTTTTTCATTTTATTTCTTCCAATTTTTTACTACTTTCATCCAAATAGCAATATCTAAGAAAGTCATCAAGATACTGTTAGAAATCCATATTGCTCTGATCTACCTCTCTATACTACAGAAATAGTAACAAGTTCTAATGAACATCAACAAAACACTGAAATTTAGGCACTCCTTGAGTTTTTACCTGCGATACCATAATCTTAATCCCCATTCACCTTTCCATTTTGGCAGGAGGATTATGACAAGGAGCCCTTAATATTTATCATAATTCTTCACAACTGTTTTTATGGGATTATAATTTTTACATACTGAATATAATTTCACAGTGACTACAACATGCATAAGTTTCTTAAAGTTGATGCAATGTACTATACACCTGAAGGAAATATACCGAATATGTATCTACACTGATTGAACAGGGCAATACATGTGTAAATCTGGGTCAATATGGGCCCAGAACATTAATAACATGCAGCTTACATTTCTATTGTAGACGACACAAACACAATACTCACAATGACAAGAAGGTAATATATGTTATGCTATGTAATGCTGTATACCTTTACTAGTAGTTAATGTGTGAGTCATAGCACATTTATACATGGAAGAACATGTGAAATAATCAATTTAATGATTTTCACACCATTGATATTTGTAGAACATGTGGAAAGACAACCATATATGACAACCACATGGCATAAATCTATTTGCCGACAATGTACAATACATTGATACTTTTGACAAAGCTTACTCTATGCCTTTATATTTATGACAGTGTTTTGCAGCAGGTGATATGCCCTTGGATCCAGATGTCTCATGACTCAGCCATGTCCGGGCCACTACATTCTTCACTGCATAGAGAAGTCTCAGGCAAACATTCATTTACAACCAACATTCACCTATCTGCCAAGCAAGTCCAAACAACATTACCATATTCATAAAGATACTTCAGCCCAGAATTGTCCATTGTATATAAATCTGGAGAGAATATATTCTGTTTTGTGAAAAGATTGAGGTGTTTTTTTAGCACTCCTCATGGTTTGGCCCATGTTTATTGATATTAATGATATCCTGACAGTCAAGAGGATAAGGGAAAGCCTAGGGCTGTCATAGTGTCATTGTGTGATGATAACTCACCTGGAAACATCATGTCCATAAACTGGCAAAATGAACTACCTGTAAGGAAAGAAAGCATTTAGTTAAGCATCTTGCATTTATATTAAAACCTTGCACAGAGGTTTGCATTACCTATTCAAACCAAAACTGTCAACAGCAATTCACTACTTAAAGAGGTGAAGTACTGTCAAGTTTGCACTGCATACAGTTGTTAGCCATGGTCATACAAACAGAAAAAAGACAACTATGAAAGAGTCTGTATTGTAATACCATCATCTGTGCCCCATGCATGTCATGTCCTGAGGACTTGTAAATGAATCAATACAAAATGATGCATGCATGTGTGTGATGTTTGGTAGTTCATCAATGTTTAACACAGAGATCTGAAAACACACTGAATTCAAGACATCAGGTTTCACACTTGTCCAATGGATGACATTGCATGACAATATATACCATTGAATACTTATAATTGTTCTGAGTATATGTTTAATGAATCATCAAAAGTTTAGGACTGTCTCTCACAAACATCCCCGTTCACTGCTCCAACTTGCACAAAGTGGCATGTTGGAAGTCCTTTACAAATCAAAGACATTATGCCACATCCAGATAAGGCATGATATTAATGTTGACGAGGGGCATATAGCCCAAGTCTTTACTGAATAAATAATCGAATCGAATCGATGTTACACTATCTTTACAACAAGCATACTTATAACAAACTGACGGATAAAGCAAACTCACTTTGTGACCCCATGTGACCTCTGTCACTGACAATTTTTAACAAACTGTTAATATCTGAGTGGCCTACAGGTCACCAATCAGCATATCAATTTTAACTCCCTTGATTTCAAATCACCTGAAGAAGGGGCAAGAAGTGGCCCAGAAACGTGGTGTTATACCATAATTTAAGAAGTTGCCATCCATATACTTGTCTTACATATTGACCAAACTTCTAAATGCCTCTCAAGAATACTTGAGGCTGTCCCAAGTGGCAATAAATAATTAAAGAGATTAAGTGGATTAAGTTCTGACACCTTGTCCTCAGCTTAAACCCTCAATTAACAATAGTAAAACTGTGATTACGCTGTAGCCTTTGAAGTGGATATATTTGGTCTATAAATGGGACAAGTGAAACTGGGAAATTCAGTGTTGGGAATGTTATGATGGTAGACACACTTCACAGGTGGAAAAAGTTTCAGATAGATGTTTGGCATGTATATGTCAATGAAACTGTCTCAGTAATATATCTGTATGTTTTCACCACTGTTTTTCACATGGCTGACTGAAAATGCATCTCATGAACTATGATTACAACCAACTATAACTTGTGGGGTTAAGTGGAGTTGTGTGAGTAGCACCCCAACCAATGGCACTGCATTGTGACACCTTTGCACAAGTGCATTTGATTTAACATGTCATGGCATATCAGGCTGATGTTAGGAGAAATCCCAGTATGAAAGTCTTAAATGCTAACACATCCAGAATACATATTTTTGTTTTTGTTTCTTTCTATATACAGTTCATTGGTCTTGCTGCCAGTGCAATACAACTCTACTCAACAAATAGTAGGACAGTTAGTTTTAATTGTTTTGACATGAATTGGCCATATCTTGATTTGCTGTAGTCATGGGGGTGAACCATCAGCCAGCTGACAGGCCAGGAGATACCCATGATATCTGAGTCAAACACAAGTATCGTTTCTTTATAAATATAAACAGATGCCACAACTGGAAAATACTTTCTGTACATCCATTTCTGTCACAAACATTTACAACTGAGAATACTAGTCAGGATTATGATATTGATGTTGCTATGCCTATTTGCACTGTATCATTATACAGTATCGCCAGTATAAGAAGAGGGTACAAAGAATTATGTGTCCTAAATGTTTTCTGTACAACATGGAGCACATAGAGAGACAAGTAGGTTGCCAAGGACAACCCAAAAGCCAAACATTGACACTGCCAGTGTTACCATGACAAGGGTAGAAACAGAAACAAACAGTTAGCAGCAAGGGTGGGGTTTTCTTTAAAAGGAGTCATCACAAGATCTGTGAGATCCAGCAAACACTCATTTCGCACAAATCAATACTGTGTGCAGCATTAATTACTTAACATGCTTTAACTGAATAACTCTTTCAACACCAGTCAACCAGAGGCATTTACTGCCATGACACCAAGTTCCCAGAGACTCTGAGGTCATAGATGAAGCCTATGTTTATCAATGAAAATATCAGCTCGTAAATCATTATTACTACTACATATCATACACCATTTGAAAGGTCTAATCCTACTGTTTATAAATATGCAAGTTATTTTTTATCATATTATTCAAGTAATACGACTACAACTTAAATAAGTTAATATTTAATGAAAATGCAAGCTTACACATTTATATGTCCAGTTATCATGAAGGAAGCAACAAATGAGGCGATTTTTTTCCATTTGTAACATGTCATAATATCCACTTACCTTTTTCTTTTATATTTTCATTTTTACGTGTTCGGAAAATTATTCTAAAAAAGATTTCGGAATTAATATGTATGGTCGTCTATTTCCCGATATCGGTGGCTTTCCGCTCAACAGCGTGAAATACCTCCATTTTCGAAGCTTCGTATGAATAACATGTGAGGCGATTCGTTTGATGGCAGGTATCGTTCGAAAGCCCTGAACATCAACAATATCACTATACCCTTGCCGAGAGTATTTTCACAGTTGTAAGAAGTGATTTTATTGGATAAAGATTGGTTGCTAATGACGCTTATTTGCCTCAGTCTGTTATAAGGATCGTGATTGGTCAAAATCAAACACGTGACCTAAGGCAGCCAATCAGATAACAGCAATGGATACTGTCATCGCAGGGATGCACCCGAACCAGCCCCAAGCCGAACCGGCCCCTGGATATTTAACCCAAACCGGCCCCTGGATATTTAACCCAAACCGGCCCCACACCCGAACCGGCCCCTGGGTTAATTAACGGTAATCAGACAGACATGAAGATTTCAATTAATTTATTATATATATACAGACATGAAGATTTCAATTAATTTATTATATATATACTTTAATCGCTCAGTGAGACGTGCCTAAAATAACAGTTTAATTTTGGAGCTGAAGAATGTTTTAGTTTTCATAATGTTAGCAGAATTCACTCTGTGAAAGGTGGTTAATGTGTGTTGAAATCTTGACAAAGTTTCCACACATAGAAACATGCGAAAAGATGAAGGACGACATTATTTTTCGTTACTGGAAACTGGGGCATAACAAAGGTGAAACGTGAAATCATTATATTGGATTTATGTGCTATTCTTGTATTGAATTAATGTGTCAATTCTGTGGATACGATACAATGAAATGTAAGTACATGTTTTACTTTAGTATTGTTTTGCAATTGATCTTTTAGATTCTTAAAAGATTACATAAAATGTTCTCTACCACGGGATCTCCGTGATCAGCAGCAGTTGCATATTCACTTGCCTCTCATCGACACTAATATTCGCTAATATATTTTCAAAAATCGATATTACATGTAAAGACATATGAGTAATATGTTTTCATCATTTATGTTAAAGGAACTTTAAATCATATGTCAATGTAGAAATATTTATTTCTCGGGGCCGGTTTGGGTCAAATATCAGGGGCCGGTTCGGGTTAAATATCAGGGGCCGGTTCGGGGGTAATTCTCGTCGCAAACGAAAACCTGCAGGTTCAGACGAAAGTTTTGGGTAAAATCATGCTATTCTGAACGTGTTACGCAAAAAATCACCACCTATGCGTATATTATGGAACTTAGAGGACGTATCGTGCTAGGTTATGACCTGTGACAAGAAAGTTTAATGCATATATTTTAGCATTAAACATCGTGTCCGAGCGTAAAGTTCGAAGCGATGAAAGCCGAGATGTCACTTGAATTACATTACATGATCGCACAATAAAGATGGAAATAGTAAGTTATAACATACATTTGACAACTTTTATGAGTACTGTTGTTGATTCAATTTGTGTAATTATTATCTCGAAACATCGTTACTTTGCTCTTTGACAACTCTGATTTGGACCCGTTGCCGAAGCATGTGTCTGAGAATCGTTTTTTCCCCAATAACATTGCGAAAAATAGTTTATAATTCTAATTCTGTCGATTATATATGGCCATTTGAAATGTAATAAGTGTTTTCAGGCATTATGAAAAGTGACAGATTTGATAAATGAATCATGTTAGTTAGGTTCCTAAAATTATATATCATTTTGATGCGACTACTGCCTGGCCGGTTTTCCGGCCTACGGTGTCTGGGGACTGGTGACGTCTTGGCCAGTTTTCCGGCCTACGGTGTTGAATGGGTTAAACAGGTTGCCGTAAATGTTGCTTTTCAAACTCAATGCTGATCATGAAACTATAACACTATACTAGTACTTGCGTATGCCTATCTGATGTCTAGGTAAGCTATTGCAGGGATTTGGCTGGAGAGAAACAACATGATATAATTAAATCTTGACAGGGTATCACCATTCCATACTAACCCTAGCCTGCTGTTCCAAGTCGACCATATAGTCAGTAAAAATAAATACATGCTTGCCCTGTGTTAGAGGGCGTTTTTCAAATGGAAAGATAACTTACAAAGTTATTTTAAAACTTTTTATACTCTGAGGTATAAGCAAAATCAGCAATGTAACCAATACTGCATACTACAGCACTGTTCAATTACAAAATATGTTGAGGCAGCAACCTCGCAGGATTCTCCCATTAACTGGTTGACTGGCACATAATACTGATGCTCAATGGTTCATCATGTACAAGGGTTTATTTCTTAAATCATGGGACTCAAAGACAATCTCAGAAATATTATATTTTGATCGACTATGTTTCAATTACTGACTTACTCAGCTTAATGCGTCCAAAATGGCTCAAAGTCACAAATTGTCCAGTAAGAAGTGAGTTTTTATATTCCTGAAAATATAGTAGTCACAGTTTGGAAACTACTAAAGTGGGTTCTCCTTGAAATCCAGTATTGCCACCCACAAGTTGAAAGTGATGGATATCAGCCTAAATTTCATTTCAGGACTTATTGCAATCGATGATGTAGTGAGATAGGCACCACAATATACTTCATACTTGGTTATGACCCTTCCCCTCATAATCTGATAACTATGTATTTGGGGAGGATGTTGCTATGTCACAACGGATAAAAAATTAGACACATTATGTTCAGGAATCTCAATGTGAGTGCGAGATAATTGTTTTATGACAAATGGATGTGTTACACACTATCAGTGAAAAGTTGAAGGGTCCACCCATTGAAAACAAACCAGCATTAACTTGTCTTTTGTTACTGCAATTTGGAAAACATTCAACTAATAAAATTCAGCTATATAAAATGAGTGAGTGAATATTGTTTAACACAGTTAGCAACACATAACACACATTCTGGGTTAGAATGGTATGAATGTTTGTCCATAAGGCTCTTAATGGAGGTTGGGCAGGTTATGGCCAGAGTTTGTGACTTGATTGAATATATGAACCCAGGAGGCATACAATATTGCTCATAGCATGAACTGCCTGTTTGTCTTGTCCAGACACAATCACTCACAGGTTGCCATCCTATGGGTGCAATTGCAAGAATATTGCCTTATCTGTGGACAAAAACAACATAGAAACCGTATTCAGATAACAAATCTTGGCAAAGAAAATATGACAATATACCAACCTGAACAAAGTTCCTCAATTTTTGTGTAGTTAGCTTGCAAAGTATCATTCACCCAACCAATGATGTCATGCCGACTCAAATTGTCAGCCGTTGCACTTGTGTTGTACACGTTTACAGCCATGTTGAAACCTTTTGTGTCTGCAAACATTAAAGTAAAAACAAAATAAAAAACATAATCATTATTACAGATATTCAGATATTACGCAATTAAAATGGTTATTGATAATTGATGATTCTGACAACCACAGTAAAAATGGATCAGAACAAGCCTAGAGATTCAAATATCTCAATGTAACACAAATTGAGTGAGAGCAAAACCCTCCTCTTCAGGCGTACTCAATCAGGTTGGCCCGTCTAACTCATGTGCTGACACTGACCAAATCGTACTGTCTGAACGATTTATCAGATCTAACATAAAGGACAAAACAGCAGCTCAGAACCATGTTCATTGTGTGTCACAAGGGTGTAGAGGCTCTTCCAGCTTTACTGCAAGTTGGATGAAATGTGGCCAATAAAGTTATGTTTTGGTGTCACATAATATTTTGTACACAGAAGCGCAAAAACATAGCTTCATCTGCTGCAAATACTCCACGCCTTGACAATTCCATATATATTTTTATCTTTTCATGGACTTCTTTCCACATGAAATACAATTGCTCATCCTAAATTTCTTATTCTTTAATGAGATTTGTGTATAGTCCATACTTGTCGCAATGGAGACTTGAAGCTTTTGTCCGGCAATATTTCTCTTTTTCTTGCAATGGCATTGCTTTCTTCATCTCTACACAATGTAGTGCAGCAAATGATCGCTATGATTCAATGAAAGGCAATGCATGTTGAGCGAGGTGAGGGCAGTAATAAATAATTTTCAGATTCTTTCTTACAGAGATAAATTATTCCACTCTCCATATTTAATTGTCCAGGTTTATTCATAAACCCCTTGACTAGGAACAAAGTGATTTGGATTACTATCCCTGCAGGGTGCACGACCCAAGTTTCTGTAAACTTCGCAGAACATAGAGTTTTGCACCTGGTCATATATGATCTATGAATCATATTTCTTGGGTGCCCAACTTTGAGAAATACTACATGCACATGTGTTGTAAGTTTGGTTGGGATTGCTTGCACTAGTCGTATCAGGCTTCAGTTTCAAATTTGCCTGATCATATTGAGTGATTTCTGTAACATCAACGGTTTAATTATTCTTACTATTCACACCAACAAGCTGCAAAAGGAATAATATGGCTCCCTCCGAGGCACTCACTTGATTTGACAGATATTCTCTTCTGATAACACAGAAGCTATATTATCCAAAATGAGATGTCCTGTCATACACACAAGCATTCAAAATGGCTGTGCTCGCTCGTGTGAAGTTGTGATATCGAGTTTGCCATTGATAAATAGTTTGATGGGGTGCAAAAATAGGTTCTTAATCATTTGAGTTGGCCAAATTAATCACATTTTCCATTAAATAAGGTGAGGTGAAATAGGTTTAACGTCGTACTTGAGAATATTTCGCTCATATGACATGCATGCGTGTGTATGTGTGGCTGCTTGTACCATGTGTACTAGCCCAGACTTAGGCTGGTTTTATAGTGCTAGCTCACTGAGATACCTTGCTGCAGTTAAGCACATTATACTGACTCTGAGATGACCAGTGCTTGTTGTACTCATTAATGCTGAGCGCCATGCATTAAATGAATCATGGCGAGTATTATTTGTATAATTTTAAGTATGCAACCAGGGCACTTCCAAAATATTTCACCAATACATAAAAAAACATAAAAATTACAATACAAATGCATACAGATTAAGTTTTTTCCACTCATTTTGATCATCAGTGTCCCATTGCTGTAGCATGCTGCTATACTGATACCATTGAAATAGGTGAAGATTAGTTAGAATTGGTTTTCAGCAAACCATGGTTGTCACAAGAGGTGACTAATGGGATCGGGTGTCCTGGCTTGCTGATCTTGTTTACACGTCAACGTATCCCATCTGAGTAGTTCGGTGCTCATGATGTTGATCACTGGATTGTCACTGGTCCAGACTCAATAATTTACAGGCCGCTGCCATATAGCAGGAATATTGCTGAATACACCATTAAACAACAAACGAAATGATAGTATTGACCATACATTGCATGTTATTACCCTTAAGAGAAATTCGTCAAATCTGTCACGTGACACACTAAATATGTTGTATGAATGGCCTTGACCTCAGATGGAATGTGGCTTGCAAATGGCCGATCGCTTCGAAATTTTAGAGTTGGCCTATACAATTATGAGTATGAACAGACTAATAAAATTGTTGCCATAATTTCTTATTTGTTTGTGTCAATAAATATATATCCAAAAAATAAAATGTTTCTGTATTTCACTTGTCGTTGAACAAAACCTCAAATTTGATCATTTTTATCATAAACTAAGCCATTCCTGAGTTATCTCCCTTTATGACCGTTCAGAAAAAATCACGGCGAAACGTTTTGCGCCTAAACTACGTTTCATTCTGCCAAAGGTTGAATGTTGCTGTTTAAAGATAAGCTAAATGAAAAGTCTGACAGTCCTGCACACCCTTTCAAAACAACATGTAACTAATAATATTATATAGATGCACTGTAAATTAGTGAAATAAGAACAAAAAACCACAATCAGCTCCAAAAACTTCTCAAACATACCATAATACACTGTCACATTATCTTGTAGAATTTTGCTACAATGCATGCTGTCGAAACGATGCCCACTGGTGTCATCAAAGTCAGTGACAGTGTAGAAGCACATCTAAGTGATCTTTCCTTTGTACCATCTTTGTTACTGAACAAGTCGAGTCATGTTGAGAGTTTCCAATATTCGTTTGCTTATGGCTACACAATTTATAACAAGCACCCACACCAGTTTGGATTTTTTTTCCTATGAACTACAGTCTCTTTACTAGTTCACATCTTCCCCCACTTTCTTTGTCGTCACAAAAACAATGAACAAATCCTTCAAAGTGTCCATGGGGCGGTGGGGTAGCCTAATGGTTAAAGCGTTGGCTCGTCACGCCGAAGACCCGGGTTCGAATCCCCACATGGGCACAAAGTGTGAAGCCCATTTCTGGTGTCCCCCGCCGTGATGTTGCTGGAATATTGCTAAAAGCGGCGTAAAACCAAACTCAGTCAGTCAGTCAAAGTGTCCATGGTTTTAAGACACGTGATACCATGGTTACTGTATACTTCGAAGGTGTCAAGGCTTCTCCGTTATTGTTTAGGCACAACTAGATAAACATATTCATTGTTTAACAGTGTGGATAGCACATAGCTGTCAGGTTAACCATCTGAAGGTCGCATGTTCCGTCAAATGGGTTCTCACTAACACTGGCTGCTTCACAATACTTATCTCAGTAACATGTGACCTACAGCAGAAAACATTCTCACGAGGAAGCTGTGGTGGTGATTTCAAAAGGTGTTTCCTGAAAAATTAATATCTCCCATTGAAAAATTCTAAAGGCGCAGCTTTAGAATTCAACCTCTTGTGATGACCTATGTCATAAGTCTACCAGGTCTGTGAGAATCTGTCATTCGCAAACTCGCGATCTTCGGATTGATATACAACAGCAAACCAACTGAGCTATGTCCACAAGCAGGTAACAGCAATGAACAGAAGGTTGAATAGATCATGGACAATTACAACGGTTGTACCCTACAAAAACTTTGTCTCCCCTCCTTTTAAATGGTATGAGAAAGGGATACAAGCCCTTAAACGCCCAGCACATCTTTTATGTCGTTTTATTTCAAAACCGGAGCCTACACAAATTATATATGCAAAAGTGCCTTCATAAACTAGCACTTTTTCTTAAATGTGCTGCAGCGCACTGTTTTAGAAAAACAAATATCCATAACTTTCAACATTGCTGATCTTATTCACAGTGTTCACGAATCGTGTTTCAAAGGAACAGGACATTGGGTCCTGTAAGTTTCAGATGTCTGTCTGACCCATTGAAAATTCACAGGACCCATAGAATAAAATTAAACACACATTTCAGATTTAGCATTTCTTATAATTGGCACTGAAATTATAAGCAAACATAAGATTCATAAACAGCAAACAAGTGTCACATGTCACATATAACAACTTCAGTCAAAGTCATTGTGAAATATACAGTCAGACACAGGGGCGGGTTGTAGACTTCTATCGGACCTGTTGGCAAATCTGCCGGATTTGTCAGAGGGTCAGACTCTATTCGTGAACACTGTATTCAATGACAGTGCATGTAGAGATGATAGATCACCAAGAAGGGCTTATTCACACTCAATGACCCCAGCAACAGGCTGATGCCACAGGGAACTGTTTCGCCAGTATTCATAAATTGTGTCCTAGACTACAGTCTGTTTGCTAAGTTTGTGGTGGTGAATTCTAGAGGTGGTTCCCAAATACTTAAACCCACAACTGTAATAGCTAGCGAACAGTTATCGCCATATTTTAGCAGTATTTGCAAAACTACTCCGCCGTTCGTTAAATTAATGAAACAGAATTCATAATGATACTTAATTAGCTATTCACCGATGTGTCCAGCCCGTTCACTGTCGCTGATCATGTTTTTATATAACGCGGCAGAAGTGAATCATGAAAGTATAAATAGATGTTTTCAAACAACTAACTGTAACAGTTATCAGCATTCAGAATTTCTCATGTCATTCATGAAAAACTACATATTCATATCATACAGTAACCTCAAATAATTGATTGTGTGACTATTTGAGTGTTTCTTTTACAGTAGATTGATAGGGAATGAAACAAATAATGACTTGTGAACTTGCTATTATATAGGTCGTGGGACATCCCCCCGACTAAGTTAATTATTTTTATAGGAATCATAACTTTATTCTAAATTTTTCTCTATGTTACCTGCTGAGAAAAATTTTCTTTTGCTGTCCTGTATTGTTGTCAAATACTGTAGGAATAAATACCGGAATTTTAAAATTGACCGGAACTGTGCACGTGTGATACAAATGTATTGGCAAGAACTGTTACGCAGCGATAACTGTTCGCTAGCCATTAGACTAAGCACCCAAAAATTAAGTATGGTAAAATTAAATATATTATTAATAGCATAATTAGACACTGATACATCTCAAGGTTTTCTGCAATTACTCAATGTGTCAATTAAATTATATGATCAATGGCCATGTTGATGAGTACATGCTACATAGACATCACTATCTGACGTTTACTTGAAGGCAATTCCTGTTCCCGGGAGGCCCAATGCCGACTTGGGTCAAAAGCTCTGACCTACTTATAATGACTTTTGAAAGAAAGAGGAGAGTTTGAAGAGCAAATCTGTCACCATGTGAAGGTCTAAGTTGCTATTACACGACAGACACTCCTAGTCGACTTAACACATTCCTCTCAACTGTGACAAAAACGTGATATTTGGCAAGTCGGCTGTCACTTAGTACCCGGCTAACATTTAGTACTCGGCTGTCATTTATATTACGTTTATTTTTTCACTTTATTCCCTACTCACGAATACCCCCGAGATGGAACAATCATGTTGCAAAGGCAATCATAAATTCGTTTTATTTGGTTGAAAGCGAAGTCAAGATATTCCTGCTGCAATCCCGCCGGCATGAGTGAGACGCGCAGTCTGCAATTTCACTCAAGTATTTCGATCTTATGGGATAGTGGACATCCAAATAGACATGTGTTACTTCTGAAAAGTACAGGGAAATAATCATATCTACATTTTATAGTTATCGAAAGTATACTACCACAGATTGAATAATATAATCATATTACATACCCGCCTTTACGTCAGTGCCAGCTAAACCCCTTGTCTGTCTGTGTGTCGTCAGTTTTAAAATTTAGGTCATACCTAAATTTAAGAGCGGTAAAAAGACGGAACTGGAATTTAAGCGGACCTTACGTACAACATACAACGCACTTATTCATAGCGACAAAAAATAAAGAAACTTTCAACAGAATCACACATTTATCATTCCAATTGCCATTTACCATGGGCAGTCAAAGATGTTAACGTTAGTCTTTATAATACAGTTGGGGGTAACCCCAAGTACTGCAGGGGTTAGAAGTTGCCAACAGTCATTTGCTACATACTATATTTCGTTTTATCTTAGGCACTAATGGTGTATTGAGTCGGCCGCACTTGTCATTTAGAGTCAAAAATGTTATGCGACTTTTGTCAGAGAAATAATAGTATGCATTGTTCGTGATTGTAAATTGGTTATAACGCTTTAATTTAGGAAAGAAAGTACACATGAAACAATTTATTATCCATTATTACATTAATGCAAAAAATGTAGTGTTCTTCATAAGCCAACCTTGTACATCAACCTCATTAATTGTGCAAACATCAATCACTTACTGTTTAACTTTACTATGTATATATATACCTTGCCTCTAGTATTGTACATCATTTGCTTGATAACGGTGTTAGTAGCTACACCGAAACGTCGCTCATATTATATTAAAGAAGTTGTATATCCATAGAACTCTCCTCGTTGTTCATTTCACCAACTTCTAAATGCCACTCAAACAAGTTCTTCATAAGCCCTTACTCTAGGGCAATGCATATTTTTCTCATGTTCTGACACAATTATTCGACCAAAAGGAGAATATATGACCACATTAAATTTTTTTACAATGATGAAAATGAAAAAGTGGAGGTTAATAAATGTATATTATATACAGACTATGTTGGTTATTATTGTCATATTTCTGGAAATTATACAAAGAAAATGGAGACATATTATCAGCAGGGTTGTCGGGGATGATAGATAATAGAGTTTGCCTATACATATGGAAAACGGATTGCAAAAAGAGTATCTAAAAAGCTGACTAGTACGCTTATTCTTGGTTACGAGTTTTAGTGTTATTTCGTTTCGTCGTGGAGTTAATATTTTCTTAACTGTGCTGACTCATATTGGTTTAAAACACGTTTATAAATATTTATTATAAATATACACGTTGCAGGATATATAATGTACACTGAATTGATAAATATCGGCGTAGTAATTGTGAATTTATTAATATAATTTCAACACCAACGCCGGTAACTATTGTGCGGGATTAGACCGGAAGTATCAAGAGTGCTGTCTCACTTCACATTTTGCTTTTTGGTTCTCTACAGTGCCCCAATAAAAGTGAAAATGGAGTTTTTGATAGGGATCCAGGGGAAGGATTTCATCCTGACAGCGTGTGACATGGTTTCTGGAAGGAGTGTCATTGCCATGAAGCAAGGTATATTTGTTTGCGAATGCATCGACTGGAATATCTGCCCCAGGATTTGTCATTGTGCTGTAAAAGTTAGAACTAAAAGCTAGTTCTTATACCATTTTGCTGTTTTACATTGTTTCCTTATCCATATCCATTACGTAGACGCGGAATGATGAAATCGGTAATAGTAAGAAATACAAAGAAAAGGTTCTCCTCATCGATTAAGACTGGATACTGGAAAAAATAACGTAACTGATTATTGTAATCGAACCAAATCTTATAAAAAATAACGGCCCAAAATCACATATTTCAAGATCAAATGAAACATCATAAACCAGTCGTTAAATGTTTGGTATTTGCAAAACACAAATAACTGTATTAAAAGGGAAATAGAGTAAGTTGTCCAAATGTTTCATTTTTCAACGGAGAAACATTTAGAATGGAGCCAGAAACATAGGGCCACCTCTAGTATACACCACCACTACTTCCTGTGAGGATAATCTTTGGTATAGGTCACATTTCATGAAGACAAGCAGCCGGTGTTAATCTGTTAGACACAAAATCATATCCTTGGGATTGTTAGCCTAATGTGGATTGATAGTAATGAACCAGGAAGGCATAAGCATGGGTGGTGTTGCCACCCGGGTGTGTCAGCTTTCGATTCATTATTGAACATACGTATAAATGGGGAAAACTTGACTTGGATGTTCCACAAAGTTAGCCACAATGCAGTTTACTGTGGGCAGCCTATAAAGTGCTAATTGAGGCTGCCCTCTGTGCCTCTCACTCTACTGATTAACTCATGAGCCTAGCTGGCAACGTGTGTTAGATCCTCCACACGGTACCATTTGAAATCTAAAAAAGTGTCCTACTCCCATGCCATTTACAGGGAGATGCTTACATAGTGCCGTATACTTGCGTCATATACAGAAAGCATCTGTACCTTGTTCGTTTATTAGGAGTAGTTACGAATCTCAAAGTGTAATCCTAATTCATAAATGACATATTTCCTCATCTGGTTTTTCTTTAGTTATTCAAAATCTTTGATGGGACAAGGTCATGATTATCTAAGAATTGAATGTGTTAGTTCTTCTCCAGGACTTCCATTGATGTTATGGTTGATTATCTTGTTTACCAGCTGTTTAAAAACAGCATGAAAGAAATTCATAAACTTCCATATGTTTATAGCAGTTCACTTTATCATGTTTATGGAGTCAATGAAATATCATTGACAGCTGTGGCATTTTGAATCTCTAACATCCAACAAAGATGGAACTGACTTACCATGATTGCAACATTCTTTTTTGTCCTTTCAATGAAGCATTTTCAGGGATTGTGAAAGACTGGGGCCATGGGCCATTTCCACATTAGAATAAAAAATGGCCCTTTAAAATTTTGAAGTTTACTATTGATACAAGGGCAGTGGCCCATTCTAAATTCAGAAAATGGCCAATAATCCTGAAAATGGCCCGTTGTCAAAGTTTTCTATCCCAATCCCTGCATTTTGATACTGAGTTTGCATCTGACAGCATTTTGATCTTATGGCTTTCACAGTGGTTTAAGCTGTTCATGGCCAAGGTTGCAAGTTTGTAGCACAGATTTGCAAACCTACTTTTATTTAATTGATTAATTTGTTTTTTGCCAAATGTTTCAGATCATGACAAGATGCACAAGTTGAGTGACAAACTGCTGATGCTGGTTACTGGAGAATCTGGCGACACAGTGCAGTTTGCAGAATACATATCCAAAAATATTCAGTTATACAAAATGAGAAATGGTATGTTAATTATTTTTGTATGGTATGATTCTTTAATCATGTTAATAGCAACACAGGTGTCGTATAAACTGCATCTTTGCCAAATGTGATGCATTCAGATTTTCATTGCTATCATATCAATTGTCATGTATATTTGAAATTAATAGAAGTCAGTATTTTCTAAATTTTGATTGCAGTCATCAATGATTAATATCAGGTACATAATATGCCAAAGGTATGAACGTAAGCAGTGTTGTTTTGGATGTCAGTGTGTTAAATGATTTGAAAAGGTCATTCAATTTCACAATACCTAGTTCATACATATTTGTGTTTCTACATTTATTGAGTTGGGCTTACCTAATCTATTAATGACATGGTGCTGCTCAAAGTCAAATACTTCTTGTCCAGTAAGTCAGTCCATTGTTTTGATCATATGTAAATATCATTGGCTCAAAAACAGTAACAATTGAAAAGAAACAACTGAAATCACTTAGGTTGGGCAGAGGAACATGTACTCCGATTTTCTGGATCCTTAACAACAGCAAATCACATTGACATATTTTACATAGGATAAGTGTAGGGATTGCAAAAAGTATAGGAATGCATGTTTCCTGAAGCAATGAACATTAGAACATCCCCAACTATCACTTGCTACTGCCATTAGTCTTAGCAAACCCAGGCATGGTACTACATGTATGTGGGAATCATGGGTCAATGATTTGCTGCTTGTAATATGGGGACAATGTTGACATAACTGGCATGTGTTCAGAATGGAATGGGATCTGTGATGTGTGGGGTTGATTTGGTGTAGGGTCACGAGTATCCGTTACTATGAGGAAGTGTTGAGGCCATTTGTGGCACCATTTCCGGGGTGACTGTTGACCCACTCAGCTCATATCTCCAAGGGTATGCTGTTGGCTGCACAAATCCAACTGCTATGCTGGCCTGCAAAAAGTTCTACTCAAACTCCATTGAACATCAGTGGGATAGGATATTCTTGGATGGTGTCACTGTGTGTCTAAACATCTGAGTGAACTATTCTTAGTTCTTCAAGATGAATGTCAGCACACTCCAAGATACCATCATACCCTCTCACTTGTCACATACACCCAAATCTACTGATTTTCCACACAGATGGGATCTACTTAACATTGGGCGACACAGTTTTACCTCTAGATTTTTTAATGTTTGATGTGTCAACAATTTTTAAATATAATGGTGTTTTGTAAAAAGTCACATATTTTGTCTTTTTTTTCATAAAAAAACCCAAAACACATGTTTATAAACTAATAAGTATTTGGCAGAGACTGAGTATGTCAAATCTAGATTTTGAAGTGTCTTTGCACCCATACATGTGAGAAGGAACTATCGTTTTCTTCTTCTTCTTTTCAGGATATGAATTATCACCACATGCAGCTGCTAACTTTACTCGCAAGAACCTGGCAGACTACCTCAGAAGTTCTGTAAGTAACCTTGGGGATTAATTAGCTGTAGCGTAGCTTACGCTTACTCACAAGCTTCAATACATGACCCTCTGAAATAGTACTTTATTCACCTACAGATTTCTCTGCCTTAACCATGTTAACCAGTTAACATTACATGTCTCAAGTATAAAAATATTTTACATTCCATAATATTCTTGCCAGACTCCCTACATGGTGAACATGCTGATTGCTGGGTATGACGAGGAAGAGGGACCTGTATTGTACTTCATGGACTATCTGGCGTCACTCAACAAACTACCATTTGCTGTACATGGCTATGGTAGCCTCTTCACTATGAGCATCATGGATAGATACTACAAAAAAGGTACTGTCTCTCCGAAGGAACTTGTTGAAGTTGGAAATAGAAAGCCTGTACTTTAAGTTTCCAGCAAGTA